TGGAACTAACGGGATCGTTACTGATGAAGAGTTCAAGAATAAATGCCGAAAAAACGAAACTCGCTCAATAAGTAATATAGAAACGTACTTAAAATTCTCTAAACAATATGAACTGATCTCAGACACACCCTAAAACCATGAAATGTTGAACGATGGCTGAATAATCCTTTTAAGAGATGTTTGACATCGTTATACCGCTACGTACCAAATTGCCACCCTGTATAAATACTAGTAGTTCAAAAGGTAATTATAGCTGTTGTACGGTCCAGCATAGACTCTCCCCCCTGTATAGTCCGGCGTTTTTATCGATCGCTATTTCATAACAATCCAATTATAGATTTCTTTGCAGCGGGCGTTTTGCAAGCGAAATGCTTCGTTATCGGCCTCCGTTCTGGCACCTCCTGCGCCAGGCATAAAAATTAAGAAGCTCAGAATCGCATACGGCGTCTCGGCCTCTATCCTCCTCACTCCCTATCCTCCTCTCGGATCACCGAGTTATCCGTTTCTCTCACTTTTCCTGCAGGGAGATGCACGGTTTGCTTGCGCGATTTAATAACTTCTACCTAGGATCATTGGCGTAGAAAAGAAACCATTGATTCCTAATTCACGTATAAAGCTTCATTCAGAATCTCCCAATAGTGGAATAAATTAGTGGTTTCAATTACACTTTATACTTTTTAGTTTACGGTCATTTACAATATCTAAAAATCACAATTAAAATTAATAAAATGTCCTAGCAACAGCTTGCGGTAGTCTGTTGTATCCATAGAGAAAGCATAATATTTAGCTTATAAAACAATAAACTTTTGATTTCTAACCAAAATTTTTCTTGACGGGTGATATTCAAAGGCCAAAATGGCATTCCTCGCCAATTTTGAAGTATAATTAGTGGAAGAGTAAAAAGTTTGTTAACTTTTTCCACTAATTGAAAATTACTACCACTGATTATGAAGTTCTGAATGCTTACATTAAAATTAGGTGAACAAACTTCTACGGCTAATTGAAACTACTAATTTATTCCACTGATTTCGAGGTTCTGAATGAAGCTTACGAAAGTAAAATACGAAAATGCAGTAATAAAAAAATTCACATAGCCTACCCACCAAATTTGGTCGCGATCGGACGACATCAACTTTTGACGTTTCCTATGTCAAAACTAACTGTCACAGTGACACGAGTCGTACACGGTCAAGTTGGCTTTGCTCCAATCTATTGACCAATAGATCTACCGACAAAATTTCATTGGACGATTTTTTTGATTTGATTTATTGATGATGTGGTTTCATAGTACAGGGTGTCCCATTTTGGTTGAAATCATACGGTATCTCCGTTATTCGTGAAGATAGAAGGGTGCGGTTTGCACATACTTGTGCCACTTTTTTGTCAAATGGAAGATGCCCTAAACAAAATTTTTATTGCCCTCTTCGTTTCTGAGCTACAGGGTGTTTTTGAAAATTTTGCAATTTGGGACACCCCCCGTATCTCTGTTATGTTAAAGGTATTGAGACGGTGAATACTGTTTATTGTAGAACTTTTTACGTAGAATACAGTGGTGTAGTGTGTTATTCTACGAAAATAATATTTTTAAAGATATTAACTAAAGTTATGTTTTATTAAATGGAACACCCTGTATATTTATATGATCTGGCTTGTTATAAGCTTCTCAAAAATATATAACACTCTATACTTGTTTTCATCATTTAAGGCAATATTTAAAAAAAACTTATTAAAAGATCATTTTTTTAGTAGGCCATGATTGATAATAAAAAAGAAACTAAAGAATTATTAAGAGTAATACTGCTATCTCTCTTTTGTTTTATTTTGAGAGCCACTAATTAATTCTTTGTATATTAGGGAAACTTAAATCTCTACCGCTATTTGTAAATCTTGGAAGCTATCGTATCGGAACTTTTAAATATTCCTTTAGCTAATTTACGTGAAATATACTTTGAGCAAGATGGGGCTCCCCCTCACAACTTAAGTTACAACGAAAATATTACAATTTTGTTAAATTGTTATTTCTCAAATCAATGAATTGAAACCAATGTACCCATATGATGGCCTCCCTGATTCCCGGATTTGTCTGTTCTCGATCTCTGATTTTGGGGATTTTTGAAATATGAAATATATCGTGGCAACTAATACGATGTTAAACACCTGAAAAATGCTTTAATAATGCAAGCTTTTAGAAATTTGCAAACCCATCCCATTATAATAAATTCCGTTATAAAAAAGAGAAAAATATATTTAGAGGTTCAGTGGTAACAGTTTTCATAAAATATATCAATTCCAAATAAAATTTTAATATGTGCATGTCTATTTTAGTAAATACCATTTTGATTTTGTTATTTATCGCGGCCTACTAATAAGAAAAAGATATATTTTAAATATTGTAGTAAATAGTGAAAATAAATATAGAGTGATATATATATATATATATACAGGGTGTTCCATATGTTCCAAAAAACATAACTTTAGTTCATATTTTCAAAATATTTTTTCTGTAGAAAAACAGACTACGCCACTGTATTTTACGTAAAAAGTTCTACAAGAATCAGTTTTCACCTTTTCGATATCATCCATAATACGGAGATACGGGGTAGTCCCAAATTACAAATTTTCGAAAAGACCCTGTAGCTCAGAAACGAAAAGGGTTATAAAATTTGTTGACAGCATCTTCCGTTTGACAAAAAAGTGGCACAGGTTTGTGCAAACCGCACCCTTCTATCTTCACGAATAACGGAGATACCGTATGATTTCAACCAAAATGGGACACCCTGTACACTTCCGTATGTACTTTATATATGAGTTTGATGTTTCTCATATCAAATGTAGACAAATGAGACCGAGACTTGAGTCCTTTACTTATTATTTTAAAAATCAGGTCTATTTGAGAGAAAAATGGACCCTTTATATATATATATAATAACTTTAGATTATTTTAACCCTTAAATGAAACAATCAACCAGATAAACCACTTTTATTATTACGTCAGTACAGCTTGTGCTATTTTTAATATTGACTGGTACTCTGGTGCGCCTGTAACTGTCGCAGAGCAGGCGCGTTCGCTCGGCCTTGCCCAGGCCTCTCCCGTCGGTGGTAAGCCAGAGCCATCTAGAGTGTCGTTGCGCATGCTGATCTCTCGCCTCGGCCACCCTGGTGTCATGATGTCATTTTTATCATATGTTAACACGGCCATTCTGCAGGTGGGGCGTCCGCACCAATCTGAAATTAAGAAAACACCACAAAACAGTATCGATGTTCATTTCTTATCATCAAAACTATGAAATGAAAACATTTTTTTTTTTTTTTTTATTTCGTTTTATTAATCGTAGCTAGTACTACCACTCACTCTGTCTATATTTCAGCATCTAATGTGGGGTTGCCACTGTCTCTAGGCATAGTAGGGTTGTTACTATTCTCTCATTATTCAGCATCTAAGGTAGAGTTGCCACCTTCACAGTTCAATACTTTGAATAAAACAATCATTGGTGGATCGCCACCCTTATTAGCAGTTGCTAGTGGGAACGCCACTATAAAATCATTCTTTTGTTACAACCAACAGTATATAGTGAGATCGCTCAAAGAATCATTTAAATTATTATTATTGGTGGACTGCCACTCTTTATTCTAATTATTATTATTGCTGGTGGGATTGCCACTCTTTATTTTAATTATTATTATTGGTGGATTGCCACCCTTTATTTTAATTATTATTATTGTTGGTGGATGCCACCCTTATTAATCTGCCAATTCTAAAGTTGGCAAAGCCAAACTAAAATACAATTTTTAAGATAATATAGTGGGATTGCACTCACCTTTTTTAAATTATTCCCATGACCATGGCCTCAACTGATCGTGAGCATGGTCAAAACCATTTTTAAAATTTTTACATGTTTCCCTTACTTCTTTAGTTGTTATTCTGAGGGGAGATACGGCTACTGTTATCCTTTCTTGTGTTTCTTTACCTGTCTCAAAATATGTTCTGTTCTCGGTAAGTAATGTTTTAAAATACGATTCCCATTTGTCCATTGTTATTGTCGATATTATGTCCTTATTTTGGTTTTGTCTTAATTGTTTTATCGTTTTCCAGCTTTCAGTACTTTTTCTTCCACCCAGATAAGTATTGATTTTCATATTTTTCGTTCCCAAGCTTCATTTTCTTCTGTGTTATTTTGCGTCTGACTATTGCTTGTATTTTTTATATTCTACTTTATCATTGTCACTATTTGTATTTAAAAATTGTTGATATTTTTGTCTTTTTCATTTATAATACTTTCTATATCTGATCCCACCAATATGGTTTACTTTTAGTATATTCATAAGATCCCAAGGCCTCCAGCGCAGCTGAGTGTATACTAGTTCATGATATATTTCGGGGTCTTCGAATCTTGTATTTATTAATTTCTCATCTAGGCGTTTTCTGTATAGTTCTTTTGTACTCTCATTGTCAAAGCTATCTATGTTATATCTCTTTTGTTGTTCTTTGTTGCTTTTTGTTGTTCTTTGTCTTCCATATTTACATCGGTCTCTCGGTTTGTGTACTATTGTAGCTTTGAGTAGATTATGATCCTTTTTATATTCTACTTTATCATTGTCACTATTTGTATTTAAAAATTGTTGATATTTTTGTCTTTTTTCATTTATAATACTTTCTATATCTGGATCCCACCAATATGGTTTACTTTTAGTATATTCATAAGATCCCAAGGCCTCCAGCGCAGCTGAGTGTATACTGTTTTTAATGTGTTCGTCATATATTTCGGGGTCTTCGAATCTTGTATTTATTAATTTCTCATCTAGGCGTTTTCTGTATAGTTCTTTTGTACTCTCATTGTCAAAGCTATCTATGTTATATCTCTTTTGTTGTTCTTTGTTGCTTTTTTGTTGTTCTTTGTCTTCCATATTTACATCGATTCTTCTCGGTTTGTGTACTATTGTAGCTTTGAGTAGATTATGATCACTACCACACGTGGCTCCTCTATACACTCTTACATCTTTTAGTTTGGAGTTTTTTTAATGATATTATAGTCAATTATAGATCTTAATCCCCTTGTATTTTGTATCCATGTGTATTTGTGTATATCTCGATGTTGGTAGAATCCATTCATTATTTTAAAGTCATTCTGTACGCATAAGGCTATTAGTCGATTTCCGTTGTCATTTTTTGTATCTTCTCCATAGGGTCCTACAACTTGGCTATCTGTACTTTTGCCAACTCTGCAGTTCAAGTCTCCTAGTATAATGATTTCTCTAATTTTTCCCACTTTTGTTATTTCGTTATTCAGATCTTCGAAAAACTTGTCTTTAACATTTACTAAAGAGTCATCGTCTATACAATATACCCCAAAGATAGTTATTCTATTTTCACGTACCGTCATATTTATCTTAATGATTCGTTCACTGATAGCTTCCCATGAATGCACATGTTTTCTAAGGTTTCTTTTTATAAGTACAGATACTCCTAGTTGTGCTCTTCGGTCTTTAGATACTCCACTGTAGAAATGGTCATATTGGCCCATGCTTTCCGATCCTTGTCCTTTTTTCTTTGTCTCTGTGATTACCGCGACGTCTAATTTTAGATTTTTAATTTCTATCATTACTTCATTTATTTTCCTAGTGAGGCCCTGTACATTCCATGTTCTATAACTCAATGTCCTTTTCCGTTGCGTAAGTCTGCTTTATTTTTTCCGTCCAGTTCCGAGGCTTTGGTTAGGTTTTTTAGCATTTGTAGCTTTTACGGGTTATAGGGAGCTAGCCTATAGCCCCAACCCTCCTCCTTTATCCGGACTTTGGACCGGCAATGGCCCCCTTAGAGCTACTCAATTCACTCCTTAGAAACCACAGGCGGAGTTTTTTTTAAAAAACAGGACCCTTTTTTTTTAATTTTCCATAATGACTCATGAGTTAGGGACAGAAATAATTGGGTTTTGGTAAAATCTATGGAGTGTAGAGATGAGGAGAAATATCTCTTATGGGGACTTTATTTGAAAAATGATCACAAAAATGGGAAAGGGTTTACCAAATGACCACAGTGGCGCTAATGACGCATAAATCTAAAACCAAACATTACCCAAAAAAGCTTGTTTTTATTTTTTAGAATATAAAACAATTATTTTTATATAATATTAGAGTCCAGTCTATTGCTGCTGAATAAATATCGAAAATTTATTTCATGTGACATGAAATTAAAATTTGTATTTTTTTCGAAACCCACACCTTCACGTCAAATATTTATCTTTTTTGAAACGTTTCCTGTTCTAAAAATTTTCGGCGCATATTTTAAATTTTAGGTTTTTGCTACAGCAACGCCATCTTAAGTTTTCCATTTTTATGACCCCCCCCCCCCATTTTTTAATGCACGAATATATTTCTCCATAGTAAAATCCACATTATAGTAAAACCTAAAAATCAATATGATTTTTCATAATAAGTGCCATAACGTTTATAACACAAGATTTTTTATAACTACAAGAATTTTAATAGTATATTACATACCGAGGAGCGAGGAGGGAAGTGTTTGGTTTGGTTGTTCTTTACTGTCGAGAGATTAACTAAATCTCGAGACAATAGTGAAAACTTTCCTCAGAGGTTTGTATACTATTTTATTTACAACCACATCATTAATTAAAAAATAGGGACAGTATTTTATTTTGAGAAAAAAAAACATAAATATTCGAAAATTTGTCGTTTTCTGTTTTGGCATTTCCATATCTATAGTTACCGGTACCAGTTTTTGTGCGGTTGTTATGGCGCAAACCTTCAACAGCAAAACAAACAACTAAGTGACAGTTTTGAATTTCTCGTTCGCTTTTTCGAATTTATATAACATAGAAAGCCAGAATGTTGTCGGAAAGTTCTGATAATGAAGACTACTGTAATATTGGTACTCCACCAGAACTTACAGAAGCTGCAAAAAGAGTAGATGCCAGTTTACTTCCAGAGAAAAGTAGGGGGCGATATGAAATAGCATTGAAAGTATACGAAAAATGGTGTGCCGAAAGAAATGCTAAGAACATTGCTTCAGAGATAGTCTTGATGGCTATTTTAGCGACATAACAATGCAGAAAAAGCCATCTACTTTTTGGGCTACGTACAGCATGATACGGACAATGCTACAATTAAGTGGAAAAACTGACATATCAAAATATCACAAACTCGTCGCTTTTTTAAAACGCCAGAATGTAGGTTTTAAGTCAAAGAAGTCTAGCATTTTTACCTTCAACAAATAAATGTATTAAAATCTTCAATTATTATTGTTAATCTTCTTGTTTATTTTTGTTGATGTTAAATAAGTATTTAATAAAGATATTACAAGAATATTTTGCTTAATTAAATGAGGCGAACAATAAGAAAAACCGAGTGAGGGAAATGGAAGAGGAAAGAAATGTAGATAATTTGACACTTTCAAATTTTTTTAAAAGTCAGTAATGTCAGTATTACATATATGTGGTTGTAAATAAGCTATATTATTTATAATCTAGTATTTTAAAATTAACAGTAGTCTCTTAAGTATTACTGTACGATTTGCTCTAGAATAAACAATCGTACTTGTACCGCCTGCAATTACTCATGTCTTCGCAAATGGTCTACTCGTTAACAACCACGGAGAGAACGAAAAAAATCGGCGCTATTGTTCTGTGGTAAACAACGGGTGCGGAAACGGACACATGCATGCACACCTCAAATTACTGCGCTATGCAAATTGTGCGCGCGCAGAAACAATAGATTACGCGCTCCGGTGCGCACGCCGTCTCGATTCATTATGCTAATGATCCAAGCGGCGGCTTTTTTGATCCTCAGATCAGTAAAAAAACTTTCCGCGACTGCAGTCAATGGTAATGTTTAAATGAGGAAAATATTGCTTTACTTAAATAATATTTCCTTTTTTCTACGTTTGTTTGAAACTTGACGATATTTATTTTATGCATACTATAATCAAAGAATAAATAACTCGAGAATTTTGTTTAAGTGCAAACTTAAAGTATGTACGAGGATGTATTTCAGGGGAATATTTTAACTACTATATTATGGCCTAAAAAGTGTGTGTGGATCTGGATGATTTTTTTAAATGGTGCGCCCTGTATATTATTGTATTTTTGGCTTCCTTTCAGATCATCTTACATAACCCTAAGATATGAGTAAATATATTTCCGAGATATTAAAAAATAAATAAAAAATATTATATTTTTCAATCTTCCTTAAATAATTATTACAAATACAAGAACTGTCCTGATATCAAAAGTATATATTAGGTATTTACTTTAAATGATCTATACTTACTTTGCCATAAATATCGTAATCTTAAATCATACAGGGTGTTCAAAATTCGACACCAGATTTTGTAAAACTTAAAAAAAACTTTGTTTTTTATTGGAACACCTTGTATTTTAGTTATTTTTAATGTTATAATGTATTATTTCATATGGCTTTTTCAACAGTAAAATAGGAGAAAAATCATTGGATGTCTTTGAAAAAAATTTACTGTATAAAATGCCATATGAAATATAAAACCGCAAATATCTGCGAAATCGTTAAACATTTTGAAATACTCAAAATAGAAAAAATGTTCATTTTTTAATTCTCCATCTATTCAAAAAATAATATACAGTGTGTTCCGTTTAAAAGAACTAAGAAAATTATTTTATATTTTAGAAAGTTTGGCGTAGACATTTGAACATCCTGTATGATTTACGATTACCATATTTATAGCAAAGTAAACTACAGACCATCTAAAGTAAATACCTAATATAGTTTTGATTTTAGGACAGTTCTTGCATTTTAAATATTTTTTTTAAGAAAAGCTAAAAAATATATATATTTTTTTTAATTTATTTATTAATATCTCTGAAACTATCAAAATATATTTACTCACATCTTAATATTATGTAAAGTGATCTCAAAGGACGCCAAAAATGCAATAATATACAGGGTGTCCCATTAAAAAAAATCATTCCAATCCACTCACACTTTTTTGAGCCACCCTAAGAGAGTAAAATATTTTCCTGAAATAACATTCTAGTACATGTTATGTACTAGGATGTTATATAGACAGTTAAAAATTTCTAAAAATGTTGAGTGTTTCAATATTTTATTGCCATATCTAGTATAGAGCACCGAAAACGTCCAAAATAACAGTTAAAATTAGGAATACCATTTTTTCAGTAATATCTACTAATAGTAATATACAGGGTGGTCCGAACTGTATTCCGGAAACTTCGACAGCATATTCTGCAGATAAAAATAAGTAAAAAAGTTCGTATAAATGTATGTTCTAAAATGCTTAGTTTCTGAGATATAGGGTATAGAAGTTTCATTTATATTTCGATTTTTTCCAAATAATTTCTAAAGTACCTAACGTCAATATTTGGACACAAATTTGTGTCTGGGAGTTTTTTGACATGAGAAATTAGATTTTGTTGTCAATTTTGATGTCAGTGGGGGGCCTACGGGATCTTGACGAAATTGTTGATAGGTTTTACGACATAGTTTATGAGGCTGTAGAATTGTTTGTACCAAAGTATTATGTAAGGCGATCGAGCTTCCCAATCTGGTTTTCTGCGGAATTGAAGAAAAATGTTATAGCCAAAAACAGTGCGCACAGGAGGTACAGAGCCGCGGGTAAGGGTTACAGTGTCTTTGACGCATTGCGGCAAGAATGTAAGGAATTGACTCGTATCTGTTAGGTTAGGTTAGGAAAGAAAACTATGTATCTAATATCTAAAGAGAGATAAATGAAAACACGAATCGGTTCTGGAATTTTATAAAGGATAAAAGGCGGGAACACGGCAATTTTCCCCAGACAATGTTTTCAGCGGAACAACTAGGAAATGGTGGAGAGCAGATAGCCGATCTTTTTGCTTCTCACTTTGGTTCTGTGTACGAAGCTTTTGAGGGTAGTGAGGGGCGCTTTCTGTCACCGGATTTGAGTGGCGGTCTTGTTGATGGAATCAACATTATTGAACTGAAATATGAGGTATTGTTAAATTTGTTATTATCTCTCAACATTAAAAAGGGACCGGGCCCTGATAAGTTGCCAAATTTGATGCTTAGAGAGTGTGCTATGTCCCTCTGTGACCCTTTATTGTTTATTTTTAATAGATCACTTAAGCAAGGCTTTTTTCCTACTAGGTGGAAACACTCATTTATTACTCCCATTTTTAAAAGCGGGGATAGGCGTAATATAGTAAATTACAGGCCTGTGTGCATTCAATCTTCTGTACCGAAGGTGCTCGAGAGGATGGTGAGGCCTGTTCTTGAGAATAGCCTTAAGAATATTATAACTGAACATCAGCATGGCTTCGTGAGTTGGAGATCAACTGTGACAAATCTATTTGCATATACTGATTTTATTAGCAACGCTTTGTATCATGATTGTGAGGTGCATTCCATATATACCGATTTTAGCAAGGCGTTTGATCTTCTGGATCAAAACATTTTATTGAATAAACTACAGAATTATGGTATTAGTGGCTCGTTTTTGTCATGGTTGGCGTCCTACTTGCGAGGACGTTCTCTTCAA